TATACAACACGTGTATCATTTATTGTATATTTTAACATCTTTTTTTTATTTGTATGTTCAGTTTCTTCTGGAGCAGACGCCGAGCGTCGATTGTTCAATAAACTCTTCGCTGGGTACAATAAACTGATTCGTCCAGTCGTGAACTCTACATCAACACTTCAAGTGAAACTTGGCTTGACCATATCCCAGCTTATCAATGTGGTAAGTGTATTGTTTTATTATTATACGTTGAAAGTCAACAAACGTCGAACACCAACAATTATACCCAGTATCGATCAATCTTTGGTGAAGAGCGACCCAATTTGAACGGTATTTGAAGTTCAACTTTTTAAGTTATAGATGAAATCATTTTCTCAATTTTTCACAACAGTGGATATGATGTCACACTTCACCCACAATCCTTTGCTGGAGAATCAAGATGGCGGACTACATAATACTGATAAAAAGTTGAATGTTAGTATTTAGAGAATGAATTGATCTAAAAAAAAAACTGTAAATTGTATACACCTACATTTGTGGAGGTCTTTATTTGGGGGTATTATGTTGTTTGCCTTGACTCACCCGTTAACTACCTAGAGTAATACAATACCAGAAATCTACTTATCATAGTAGAATCAGTATGAAGTGTACCCAATATCAACAAACCCAATATACCCAACTCATGTTGTCAACTTTGAAAACAACCAAAAACTGGCAAAACTTCAGTCTACATTATGCATTAATCCGCCATCTCAGTTATTTTAAACTGATTGACTATCAGTGCATTTGCGCTACTAACGTTGCGGGTAATTTTTTTTTTTTTTATCACGGTGACAATTTAAAACGTGTTTCTTAGAGACAAAAAAAAGTTGTTTCAAAACATATGTGTGATGTAACCACGAGCCCATGAACTAACGTTATCTCCTGGTGATGAATAAACAAATAATTACACGATCCACTCATAATTACTTACTAGGTGACTAAAATACACGCAAATGATCTTGCCTGAGACATTTTGCATAATTACCGGCATCCCTTGTCGCTGGTGCCGCGCCCTCATCGCTCCGTTCAGAGATGTTCGTCTAGAAATTTTCACCCCCTCCCCCAAAGAAATCTGGTTCGATGTAGTATCAGTTTGTAAGATATAGACGTGTAGAACTATCAGTGTGCTTTTATGTTGTCAACGAGCGGCGCGTTCGGATATCAAACACACCTTGTATACACCGCGGCAGGGGACCCATGTAGAACACGCGCATATCGCGCCGCGGCGATCTCTGCCATATAGTACACTTTTGGTACTATGTCACTTGGCCGCGCACTGGAGATTGACAATCCATGGGTATGAAACCGTTAATGATAATGAATCAACACAGACTGGTCGTCGTCAATATCATACTATGCCGTGTGTCATGTATTAATAACACTTGCCGACTATGACACGTTCTTAATGTAGACAATTACGTAGGTTTTGTTTTCGTAGCTGTTTTGTTCCCACAACAAAGTACATTCACCGTCAACTCAGTGGAATACTTGGCATTGTATCACATATATAGATACACGAATTCTGGCTGCAGACAGCTATCATCAATTTACCTACCAGTATATAACTGTCGTGTCATAATGATTTTAACAGTGTACTGGATTATTAAACATATGGCTTCTACATTGTGATTGTCATATAAGACGATACTAGACACTCTGTGAAATGGGAACGCTTTGCCTTCATGCCTCTAGCCTGACTATGTGAGTACCGGGAATGCCGCGTGAGGGTACCCCCTAGCCTTGTTTAGAACATGCCGCATAGGGAACCGGCGGAATCCAGTAATGGTGAAGGCGAAGGTACTTCGTAAAAAATCGACTTGCTATTTATATTCTTAGTTAACACAAATCGTAGCATAATCAACAACATTAATCAATCTTTACAACAGTTCAGTGGCGTGGAAAAACACCGCTAACATGCGCCGAAAAAAATGGGTAGATCATCTCGTAAATCCGCCGTTTCATCTCCTGAGTAGTTTGACACCTGTATTTCATTTTAATTAGTTGCCATGGAAACTGATAATTCGAGTTGGACATGTTTATATCCGCCGTATCCTAAGATGACTGGGTTTTCCCCAAGCACCGTTCCTTCTGGGTCCAGTTTTCATTTTTCAAACGATTGATGATAGTTTTACGTTACCACAACGTGCTTCATGTACGAATAATATGTACGAGTGTGCGTGCAATCATTCAGATATTGAACAATGCGAGGTCCGCATTTGTACAATACGTGTAATTGACTTACAACACGCCAACAACATCTTGAGTTTGTACCGGCCAAAAGCGTTCAAACGTGTACACGTGTTTCGGGCTTTGTTTCACTTGTTTACATATATTTACATATTAAAGATATCGCCGGTGAGCGACGTTACTGCATCTTCAACTTATGAATATGTAAGACCACACTTGAAGGTGACAAGGTACGAAAGCGAACCATTGAAATCGAATTCCTCATGTAGAACAAATGACACAGTGTTCGTTGGCATCGAACTTGGAGTTGCGAGTTCGACTCCAAAATAGGGTTAGTTGAAGGTTACCAAAACAAAATCCTGAAAATGAGTTGCGTCTTTGGCTTTATGGATATTACACCGGAACTGGTGGACATTGTGCTGCAGTAGTATTACCCCCAACACAACTGAATAGTGCTGTAACAGTTTCCATGGCGATGAAAACCTTGACGTGTAAATTTGCAACTTGAAGATTAACATATTAGTATTAATTGCAGGTGTTAGTAGAGAGAGGATAACCATCTGGTTCGTGCTACGTATTCTCGTATTCAACCTAAACCCGATACGAGACATACGCATCAACAGGGTACTACGTGACGTCACCGTAGCTCCCTGTTTTACGTACGTACGTATGATTTGTTTGGCTCGGATCACTTTCATCCTGTTGTCATCGTCTGACATAAATCAAAGTTCTGTAACAACCTCACAATCTTAAATAGCAGCGACGACATTTCCGGGATGTTATTTACGGGTCCTATAAGAGATGTGCTCTTTTAGTTTTAGTTGCATTTCCTCGTTTTGACGTATTATGACGGATTGTGTGTGTCTGATTCAGTTCATTGGCCTTGTTTCTTATGATATGTTTTCTTTATGGAATTTCCCCCACGCTGAGATGCCGATAAATGTTGATCGAATTGGCTGACTTCGCGTGACTGCGTCGCGGTATGTCATGTCTTTCAAGTCGGCTATCTTTGAACCTCAAAAATCTCTCCCAAGGGAGTTCCGTCATACTGTGCAAATACTGTGTTTAAGAGGGGCCACTTGAAGATAAATCGGCTATTTCGACGGTTGCCAGTCCGGGAACTGAATTGACATGCATACGATGTAACTATGGCAACACAATTCAAATTAGGACCATGATACTAATTGCAGGCAATCACAGAGTCAACCCAGTGATAATCCTACGAAGTATAAAACAATCGCTCTTACACGGTATATTACTTGATGAAATTAGTGAGAGACTTTACGAGGCATATCGAAAGGAAATCACATTTCGTCGACAAGATGATTTAGTAAACCACGGACGCTGAAACTACGGAAACTGCTAATGAATTCACATACATCATGTTGTTGAAGCGAGATAGAAAAGTAAAGATGAAAAAGCTTACATGAAAACACTTTTCAAGAAATTGCCCCAATATATCTCCTTGGGTTTGACTATATATCGTCGGTCGCAACGCGTCGTATTCGATACGGGTCGAATATGGCGTATGCAACGCCTGTAAAATACATCGAAACATGATTTTAAATCACCTTCAGCTTAAAATCATCACGATGTGTACAGAATCACCCTAACATCGAATGCTATTCGGAACCAGGTACCTCCACAATCGCCGTGTCGCTCGCCGGTATGATTCCATTGGTATGATTAACGCATACTATCGTATTATACATGTATATTAAATTGTGTTCCACGTTTATTCAATGTTAATGTTGAGCTACGTAACGTTGAAAGCGTTTGAGAAGCTAAGTTAAAGAAATGCATTATCGCATGGATGGTGCTCGAATATTTATTTTAGGAATATACCGTTACAAACATGCTACGTTCTTCTACGCTTTGTTTTTGTTGCAATTTATAGTTTGTTTTCTTAGCTACGGTCGCGTGGAGAGAACCAATGATAATCGTCACAGTGACCCGCGGTAAGAGCAGTAAGTGGAAGAGGTGAACTGGCATACGACCCTCGCAACGTCAATCACGGTTTGCCGACCCAATTCAGACTACGTAGCATTTGTATTCAATCAATCTATCAATCAATCAACCTGCATGGGATAATGTTAGCTATTTGGGGTTTACGGCATCAGTTTTAAAATGCAATATATGGTACTTTGGGAAGGGTGGTAGTTTCAGTCGATACGTCGGCGTTGTTCCTGTTAACCGCTAGATGGCTGTAGAGTCTTGGTAAATGTGGACTTTTTGTCTGTTTCGCTTATGATCATGCTAACCATTAAGTTTTACTGACCGCCCATAACCGTACTATGTATATAAAAGAAACCAGGCGGAAAAAAAACATTGGTAGGCGGAGTCGATATTTTCATTTTCCACCAGCTTCCTGCTCTAACATCCGGTGTCTATGAGTGGAAATAAACACAAAAATTACTAGTAATCACAAACGACAGCTTGTTATCCAAACATATTGCTCCAGTTAAAAAATAGACCCCCATTTCTAGGTCATAAATCTTTAGTTGATTATCTCAGTCAAGAGGAAGTCAAGTACATGTTATAATTGCTAAGTATAAACACTGGGACACAGAAGAAGATTAAAGTCATATTTCACCTCGCCTCCATGGAACCTGCTGATAAATACATTAGTGACGTTTACGTTAGATATCTCAGCACGTGCCGAAAAAAACTCGAGCTCAGTCCTGATAGATCTTGGTACCGAAACTCCGCACGTGCCGACATTTGCTGCATGAAAGCTCGGCACGAACCGAAATCACGCCCTCGATGGTGAATTTAAAAGAACATATACTGATTCATACTACATGTAATATGACATGACGATGGAGAGAAGTGAAACTAGTAGTCGGTGGTTGGATGCTTTAGTAATGACGTATACAAATAATTGTTTTTCTAAACTACTTTGCCGTCTATGTGCACGATGACCCGTAATAAATACCATAACAACAAATGGATATAATTTCAATATAACAATTATTATTATCATCATATGCGTATCGTTTTCCATTTTTGGGTCATAACAGATCGTCGAATGAGGGCGTGATTTCGACACGAGCCGAGTGGGTCCCGATGTGGGTCCAAATATGAAGATTACATATTTCCCGTAACGTGAACGTAAGCAATACTCTCCACCGTCATTTAGTACCCGACTGGGGTCCGAGTCCTGTCCACTTTGAATATGGCCTAATCTACAAACACCACAGATTATTTAAATCGCGGGTAGGCCTTCAAAATCTCGACACGTAACTACTACAAACGTGATCTTGTGTGAAATATAAATTTAAACCACCATCTTTGTTTTCACTTTTACAGGATGAAAGAAATCAGATCATGAAGGCGAATGTGTGGTTAAAACAGGTGAGATCAACGAAATATGAGTATGTGATTTTTAGTAATTTTTACCGTTAGGTTTTTATTCACACTGATTAATAGTTGTCGTAAACAAAACGCGTTCGTTGTGTTCGTTTGTCATATGAAATAGTGAACTACGTATTTCCAATTAGTGATACGTACCAGTAATGCAATGCACATGCGCATGTACCCAGTGAGTTGTTTACTTAAATCTTGTGCGACCGAAACAACGTTACGAATTCAGTACGAATTAGAATCACCAAGTCTACTTCAACGTAGAATATTGAACAAGATTTACTAATAAAATGAAAATTGTAATGGCTTCTTTAATATTTGTCAGTATCTCAGTGTGGCACTGAGTTTGTGTATATATATGGGTATTTCGTTCTCCGAAATATATTTCACCGCTCTGAATATCTCTCTAATTCATCCATGCCAACTTGAAGTTTCTGAACGTACGGAAAATTTTGCTGTTTTTTTATATCAAATATCTCGATAACAACAATTTCTTGGTGACGCTGTAAACAAATGTTTAATGAGACTCAAATGTGTTTTTTCATTAAATTTTCGTGATATCATAAAGTTTATTTTTTGTACGTTCACTAGTCCCCTGAGGGCGCACTATAAGTCAGCGTACACTGGCATCTTTGTCAGGAAGAATAAACAAGAATATATTGACGCACAGCCTATGTTTGTTAGGTTTATATGTGTGAGACGATGAGTATTTCCGTCCGGTAGAAGTATTTTCACGTTTAAATTAAACAAAATCAATCTAAACTAGCCTGGTCTGCATCGTAGGCAAAAAAAAAAAAAAAACTCGCAGCGTATAGAGAGAGAGAGCAACCTTTTGATTATCGAAAACATTACCATTATACACGTGGAGTCCGTTATAACTCGACATTGAATCAGATGTCATGACTCCCACATCACATTTACCCTGTGTTGACATATGTGTAATATACAATGTTTTCTCATACAGGAGTGGCCAGACTACCGATTGCAATGGGATCCCAAGGACTACGATGGTATCCAAATTCTCCGCGTTCCATCACAGATGCTATGGCTGCCAGATATCGTGCTCTTTAACAAGTCAGTACAATATTTTGTAATAGTCATAATTCAATTAATATAGAAATTGTTTCTTTTAAACGTATAATTTAGTGAGAATGATTTTAAAGCGGGAGGGTCGTCACCTGCGCACGAGCGAGAATTGAGTCCTAAGCGACGATAACAACACACACTAAAAACGCAAAGGCTCATGGGTAGACGCTTGTTTATAAACAATGACACGCCATGGCCATCTGACGCATGCGCAGGTGACGACTCTCCGCTTTAAATCCGTGAACAGCTAAACTAATATTAACATGATGCTTACCAATTTGTTCAAGAAAAATGCAAAATGCAGTCTTCGTCAGCGAGTGTCAACCAGGATGGCTGGTTTTTTTTTTGTTTGTTTTTTAATTAAATCCTATTGATAACAAACGAAGTCTGGATATAAGAATCGAGATTGCCATGATGCGGTTTTGTTTTACTTTTATTATTTTTTTTTATTTGTGATATTAAATCGATGTTTGAATTGGTAATGTATCCTCACTAGTATATTGCAATGTTATAAATGAATGATACTGTTCAGGGGCACTGTGTTATGTAAACATATAGGGACTGAGGTGTAACTATTATACTATTATTATGTGTTTCATATCATTCAGTGCTGATGGTAAATACGAAGTGACGCTCATGACGAAGGCGCTCCTCTACAGCAATAGTTATATTTACTGGTTGCCCCCAGCAATTTATCAGAGCTCTTGCCAAATTGACGTGGAATATTTCCCTTTCGACCAACAAGACTGTGTCATGAAATTCGGCTCGTGGACGTACGATGCTCTCCAGTTGGACTTGACTTTCAAGGATAAAAGCGACGGCTCTGGCAAGCCAATGATGCATGTAGAGTTGGAGGACTACTGGGAGAGCGGAGAGTGGGACATCATCGATATGCCCGGAGAAAAGCATATAATTAGTTATCCGTCGAGCGATGACATTTTTTCGGATATAACGTTTCATTTTATAATTAGAAGAAAGCCATTGTTTTACACTGTGAATCTTGTGATTCCTTGTGTTTTGATATCTTTTTTAACAGTTTTAGTGTTTTATCTGCCGTCAGACTGCGGCGAGAAAATCACGCTATGTATCTCCGTCTTGCTGGCGCTCACCGTGTTTCTCTTGCTGATTGCGGAAATCATCCCGCCGACGTCACTGCTCATCCCGCTGATTGGACGGTATCTCCTTTTCACCATGGTCTTAGTGACGACCTCCATCGTCATAACGGTTGTCGTATTAAACATTCACCATCGTTCTCCCAGTACTCATACTATGCCAAATTGGGTGCGAAAAGTATTCATTGAAACGCTGCCGCCCTATCTATGGATGAAGCGGCACCGCCCTCCACGGCGGCTATACGAAGTATACGACGATCGTAACGGAATGACTGAAATGAAAGAAGTAAGCTCATTGCCAAGGTTGAGTATAGACAAGAACTGTGTCGGCAACGACTTGTACGAGAACGCTAAAAATACCAGACCGTCGTCTTCGCCGCTGCACACGATATCTGAAGGGATTTACAGCACAGATCACAAAAACACCCCGGGTCAAAGAACAAAACGAGTTCCAAAAGAGATGAGAGAAGCAATAGACAGTGTTAAATTTATAGCAGAACATTTGAAAAATGATGATGATTTTAAAACGGTGAGTTTCTTTTTATTGGTGTTTTATGGTCCTTGTATGATTAAATTACAAATAGCATGTAAAAGACATTAACAACTGTTGAGGCTACATAGCTTTTTGGTGGTGGTGGGGGGGGGGTACTTCGCAGCGAGAATAGCGAGGCGATAGCGCCAACCGATTCCGGACTGGTACAAAATTAACCAATCTTTTGCTTATGAACCCATGGCGTTGTGCTTCAAAGCTGCTGCAGTCGGCTGCTCACAGGATCTCAATTCGTTTAACACGTGATCGAAACTGGTTGCTAAGGACGTAAAGCTTGGCCACGCGAGATCTCGCAGTGAGCGGAATATGGCATATTTCGAGGTGGATATTTTCCTAGCTTGAATCCAAAATAACAATTTCAATATCATAAAATTGTACTAAAAGAACTCCCCGAAGTTCAAACTAAATGGCGGTAAACTAATTTAGTGAATTGGGATTATAGATCTACTTGCATGTAGCGTTAGAAAGGCAGGTTGATATATTAGGTATTGTAGATTACTACGATACTGGACACTGCCGTATTTTGTCACTTATACAGTTGTTATCGTCATGTCGAATATTAGAACATGTAGTATGGTAATTAGGAGGGATAATTGGGGTCGACGGGATTTGCACCTGGCGTCGCCGAAATGCGAAAGCACACTAAAATAAGCCCCTAAAAAACTATAATAAAATTAGCTCGTGTAAAATATCTTATAGCAGAAATAAACACATGCAGCTTTTTCACCGGGCCGTTCAAAATAGGCGTGATACATGTACTCACGTTTGAACAACTTACTAGCCCACTGTAGTCTATCTAGTGCGCATGTGCAATGTTGTATTTCAGAGGATGCCAATTGAATTATTCAAATACTAAATGTCACGAAACATATTTCGTCAAGCTTTCAAAATTTATAAAAGAAGTATACGTTATATTTTTTTTCTATATTCTAGGTGAACGAAGAATGGAAATACGTTGCCATGGTGATTGACAGAATCTTTCTCTGGATTTTTCTAGTCGCCGTTATATGCGGTTCATGCGGCATCATTCTATCGGCTCCTCTGATTTTTGACAAATATGAGGCACTTACGACCCAAGGCTGAGAACAAAATACATAAAGCATTTGTGACTACTTTAATGAGAGTTGGCGCTTTGCGACATTTCTGCGTTTGCGCAAACCGTCGGCCAGGATTTGCGCCTAAAACGCACTCTCTAATTCATGCGTTCGGGATTTGTGATGGCATGCCGTGATCTTTCGTGGAAACCAGCGTCCGTGAGGGGCATAACCACGAAATTGACACCCACAGACACAGCAGATCAAGGGAATCAGTGCACTTGTTAAGAAACTCGAAACCACGCTAGAGTGGAATTAATAAGACCAACTTATACCAGTCAGTGTTCGCGATGGTCGCTAGATGGTTCTGTAATCTGACTACCACGTGTCGGCATATCACTTTCTTCCTGTCGATGACCTTCGTACACGAGTAAAACACGTGGCGGACGACTTCAACAGCTGCAGTAAATATTATTATCACGCCAAGTGATTTGTCGGTCGTTTCAGTTGAATGAAATGTATCAGACTGAATTGACTCTGAGTCGAACACAACCCTAGCCTGAAGTTTTTACGACACAGCTGTCCAAATTTGTCACGACAATTTTACAACCCTGTGTACAGTGAAGAAGTTTATTTTCCGAATGAAATTTAGTTGTCAATTCTTGATAGATCTTATGTTAAAACCTCTAACTAGAGTGCCGTTTGATGTTCATGCTATTCATTTGGAATAACCTACAGATATTTTTGTACAAATCAAATTGACATTTTACACACGTGAAATTAAATACTGGTAAGACGTGTACGAAATTCAACTTCCATTTATATTTGTAGATGTAGAACCGGAAGCACACGTTTCAGTGCCATTTAAGGAAACAGACAATGGTATACCCCATGCGGTAGTTTTTCATCACGTGAGCATGCCACATTTCAACGTCACTTCGCAGCTGATGCAACGATTAATACCTGATGCCTTTCCTCAAAGTTATCAAGAATTACATACAATATATACGATCAGGCTTGCATACATATTTCTTGGGGGGGGGGGATTTTCCACTAGGCGTATTAATTTGATATTTAAATTTTTGATATTCCAAATCATCGTGACTGTGTGTGCGTCAGCAGTTGAATCAATTGTCTACAAATTATGCATTCATTTTAAGTATTTGCATGTTTGAATATGAATAGAACATTTATTTACAGTGATGTAGCCCCATGCTCTGTAGCGAATGACCTATATTACATTTGTCATATTTACTGTCACGTGACACAGATTTCGGGTCATAATGATTGCATTATTGATTACCTCCGTATTTGTCTCGGCAACTCTTGCTTTTCGTTCAGACTTACGGAGAATTAAACAGTCGTATGAAAACGGGTAATGGTTCATAAAATGCCCAGTACGTAATCAAAATGCGACTATGTTTATACGTTCTGTAATTATTTCATTTGAATCATATCTGCAAACGACATTCTAACCTTCAGTAAGACGACTCTATTAAATAGTGGAACATAGATCTAATGCTGTCATTACACAGCTAGTTACTTTTCCGAGCTCATTTTTTACAGTT